AAATAAAATATGGCGAAGTTATTGCTTAGGGCATTCTTTGAGATTTTGAATTTGCTTCATATCTACTCTATAAAATTTTTAAATTGTTTAAATCGATTAAACACAAAATTTGTTTGAAAAGATTACTATAACTTTGAGAGAATATTTATTTTGTGGTAAGTAGTTACATTTTATGAATATATTTTCAGTGAGTTAACACTTGAGGGAACGTAACATATTGTGTAACATACGTTCATAAAATTTTCACGACTCACTTGACTCCCTTCATATTTTTATTTTAACAACACACCTCAAGCACATTTTTCGGCGGGAGTTTTAGAAATCTTTAGCAAGGGCATCGATTTCTATAAACTGAGCTTTGTAACTAAAGCAATATCATGTAAAGTCGTTGATATTCTATGGAACTGGACAGTTACATAACTTTAACTAGCTAAATCAATATTTGTCGGTATTTGGCATAACCTAAATAAAAAAAAGTTAATCCACAGCAATTACAAAAAAAGTTGACTAAAATTATGCATCTAGTAGAGCTTTGTTTCAAATGAAAAAAACTCTATTTGGGCATAAAAAAAGCTCGATTTAATCATAAGTTAAATAAAAACCAGTTACAGCTCCATCAGAAATTATTTACAAAATAAAACGTTGAGATGCCTAAACCCTAATAACATTTTTATAATTTTTCATTCGCTGTGTCAGAAACCAATTTACTTCGCATTATGTTCTTCAATCTAGCAAACAAATCCCAGTCCCATCTTTATCCACACTCACTTCTGCCAATTCACCTCTCTCGGTCCTAAACCACGACCTCATTCACCTCTCGGTCATAAATCCCTACCTATAATAAAATGATTCGATTATTCCCCTCGCCAGTGCGTAACAATATCCTTATTGTTCCAATTTCGAACAAACTCCCTCTCTTAAAACCGCAATATTAATACACAAAAGCTTCATCATCCTTATTCGAAAAAATCTTTCAGCAGAAACGGGTGTCAGAATTGTTGAGATTGATATCCGTCTTGTTGAACTAATTTTCCTAAACTGACTATTTCTATTACTGAAACTTGCTGAAAGTAGTTGCGGTGACTGGAGCATTCCCACCAACCTAATAAATCTCGACTTATAATTGAGTTATTGATAAAGTTACACGCACGCGACGGATTAATTTCAGCGCGAAAGGAACGTCTTTCAACCTTGTCTGATTASATAATTAAACTAAGACTGAAAATTTCCAAACAAGTCCAACAATATGAGCTGTTTTTTTGGTTTGTAATTTATATTTTATTAACTCTCACTGATGGACAAAAACTTTAACAACACTTTGCTAATTTAAGGATTAGGAGCAAAAGTAGCTTAATGACTTAGAAACTTTACGTATTGAATTATAAATAGGTATTCCTTTGGACTCTTTTTTGGACTGGCACATCCGTCTGGATTTACTCCTGGAAAATGGAATTGCTTGTAGCCGCTCCTACGGGAACTCTTAACGTCGTTCTAAAACGGCGTATGCAGAATAATGCAAGTAAATAAATTTTATTCTGATGATCGATCAACAAAATTCCATTTCRACTGCGATAATTGGAAACAAATGGAGACCACCTGTTAATGTCACACAACAATGGCGCGCCACCTTCCAATTATTAAATCAAGTCAATTTATTGTTACAGCACTACACTTAATTGGTGTTCATTAAACATAACACCCTCTCTCTACAACAGAAGAAAAATTTACGTTCGCATCTAGAGGGCCGGGAAATGAATGAAACGAAACTGCACAACACTTGATTAATACACCAATTTGCGTCCATCAAGAGATCTGCTYGAGGAAAAATGGTTGCGAGGCGGGAAATGCAAGCGGATAAAAATTGGACGACAAATGACCGCATGCTTTTATTTATTTGAAACACACACTGGGAACCGACAAGGAATCGATTAATTAATTCGGGAAAGTGTGTTAAAAGTAGCGGAAAATCTGCAACAAATATTTATGCCTCGAGCAGACAAATAAATATTTGAGTGATTATTATATTAGCAGTTTTCAAATTTGTCAAATTTGTTGTGTTAAACAGAGGTACAAAAAAAGGTACTAATTACTAATAACACTTACTTCTTCAATTAGTGAATTACTCCCAACGGTGTAATTTAAAGAAAAACTATTTAATGGAAATTTTATAATCTTTTGAGCCCCACAACTTAAACAGTAGATTACAACAGAGTTGTGCAAAATTCCTGACAAATTCCTCAGACATTGTTTTCTTCTATTTTTTAAAAACATCAATTTTGAAAGAAATGGTCTCAGCTTTGCACTATTTCATTTGAACACTGCTACGTGCGATTATCCCAAATCGTTTTTTCAAGTCCTTCAMCCGATTAGGARGTTTTCAATTTAAGTTTAAGCATGTCAGAACACCCGCCGTTCGTTATCGATTGTTTGAAATAAAGACACATATCCCTAGTTTTCTACTTGCCAAGTTTTCGGTCCACTTTTCGTTTTATTTCCCGATGCATAATGTATCCAGTAATCTCTCCATAAGTTGAACGGAAACGTAATCCTATCAGGGCGGGAAGACGTTTTGTCGCTCCGGCAAATCGTTTAATCYCGAATTTAACGCCTCCTCCAGAAAAACATCGGTTTCCTGATCGCGATGCAAACGATCGTACACGAATTAAAACGGGGAATCGCTGATTGGAACCGGTATTCTGATTGTTAAAATGTACCAATTTACTTTATTGGATTAAAGCAATTTTCACAAGGACCCTACAGATTTATTGGGCAATTTTCTGGCACATTTACCGGCCTCCAGACCACCGCATTATGCAACCGCTAATCGAAAATTTATTGCGACGTAAATCGAAAACTTACAATTTCCACATTTCTATTTACGTCACAACAAAACAAAGTAAGCAATCCGAAATCTCAAATCTTGACACTAAAGACCATAT